AAGCCTGTAGCAAGAGATTTTATGTTTGATAAACTATCCCAAATGGAACCATTCCATTTCTACCAGTATGATTCACTCGGTTCTATGAGTTTCAAAGCTTTCTCCTGAACAAAGAAGATGGTTTAAAAAAAAGAGTTATATTTTTCTTACATGTGCTTATTCACTCAACTGTTCACTTATTGAATCAGTCAAGAAATGTATTACATGCCTACTCTACGGCAGTTACTGTGCCAAAGATGAAGAGGATTTCTGCTCATAGCACTCAGGCCTGGGGGAAGACGCCACACAGCGTCAGGTTGTCAGGCCCTGGGGCCAAGGGAGAAGACAGGAGAGACCCTTACTTAACACAAACTGTGGCACTGGGGACAGTTTCTAGAAGAGGTGGCACTTTCATGACATCTTTAAATACTTGTGTGATGAAGTAGGAGCTAACCAGGTTCAGGAAAGAGGTGGGGGTGGGTGTTCATTCTAGAAAGAGGGTCTGTCGTCTGTAAGGCCATTATAAGAACAAAATTACTGTTGATCTGTTGGATTTTTTTAAGTAATTAGAACCATTCCTTTTCTTTCTCAATTAACTGACCCCAACTTCCATCTGGTAGTGGCATTCTTTTATTTAGGTAGAATATTTATTTATTCATTCTTGTTCTGTTTTATGCCCAACTCGTCAGGCCAAATAGAAACACACACACACACACACACACACACACACACTCACTTACATATGCATGTGTGAGTAAATACATATCTCATGTATGTAAATATGCATATTTATTGGGTATAAGCCTTGTTACACAGTAGGGTGACAAAAGAGCTCAACGTAGAAAGTATGAAGTTTAGTTAAGAACTCCAAACTTCTCTTACTCAAGTTTTTGACATTTGCTTTTCAGATTTTTATATATTAAAGAAAATAGGATGAAGAATCCCAAGCCCTTTATCTTACCACACTCCTCAGTCTTCTTCTTCTGATAAAACCCATATTGTTCTGTATTTTTCTTAAGTTGTGGCAATCAACACTGTATACCACACTTGATACTGACATGTTTTCTATTTTCATAGTTTATGTTTTACCTTATGGCCCCATTTATGACATTCTGTAGCTTTTCTTGTTTTCAAAGGCAGCTCATTAAGCTGGAAATCATCAAGAACAGCTGTGATAACTCTGTGGCCCTATTCTTGGGAGGCCGATAACCAGCCTTTATTTACACCTGTATGGATTGAAGTGTAAATTGCCCATACACATTACAAATGTTCATTGTTGTTGTTTTGTTTGTTTTAAGGAGCACTTTCATATTGTCCCCTTTTGTATTTTTTAAAACGTTTATTTATTTTGAGAGAGTGCCTGTGGGGCAGGGGCAGGGAGAGAGAGAGAGAGAGAGAGAAAGAGAGAGAGACAGGGAGAGAGAGAGAGAGAGAGAGAGAGAGAGAGAGAGAGAGAGAGAGAGAGAGAGAATCCCAAGCAGGCTCTGGGCTGTCAGCGCAGAGCCCAACGGGAAGCTTGATCTCACGAATTGTGGGATCATGACCTGAGACAAAGTCAAGAGTTGGAAGCTTAACCAACGACCCATCCAGGCACTGCTCCTCCTTTTGCATTTTTTTAGATAGAATTCACTTTCTGAGTTTTATTTGGGGTACAGGGTGTTATTCCCACCTGGAAATCTTTTAGGTTCTCCAAAAGACTTTAAGTGTTATGGCTAATACTACAAAAAACAGAACAGTATATTGGCAGGTTACAGGACTTTTCTGATGATATATTAGTTCATCTAATGTTTATACATACAAGTAGATAGAGTATCAGTACATAAAGAAAGTAGTAACAGAGACTCAAGAAAGTAAAATCTAGCATACTTGGAGTAAGCATTGATATTGGATAAGAAATTTTACCTCATATTCAAAATTTCAAATGTATTTTTAAATAGTTTTCAGCTCCCAATTAATTTTGAATATTAGAATGTGATGATTTGATTTTTTGAGCCTGATTTATGTGTTTTCAGAGGCTGAGCAAAGTTTCTCTTTTGCATTTTAATTATCATTGCCTGGAAAATGTGATTACAAACAAAAACAAAAAAATGCTGGAGCCCTATATTTTTAGTCACATATTAATATTATAATAAAGACATTCTTTTTAAACTTAATCTTTCATTTTATTTTTTACTTTCAAACTTTTTATAAAGGATCCACATTGATAATATGAAATTATGCAGCTTTTTTTCCTACATCATCTCAAATACTCAGAAAATTGAAAACATCACCCAAATATTTTGTGGCAAGGCCACATCTCAGGTTCATTATCTAGATTAATGAATGGTAAAATGATACTTGACAGAAATGTTTACTCTCATCCTTAAAAAAATAAAAATAAGTGGATCAAAAACCAATGAAAAACAGACATTACAGCTTTTCTCTATCAGCTGCCTTTAAATTGTTTTTTCAAAATGTTTTTTATTTATTTTTGAGAGAGAGAGAGAGACAGCGTGAGCAGGGGACGGTCAGAGAGAGAGAGGGAGACACAGAATCTGAAGACAGGTTCCAGGCTCTGAGCTGTCAGCACAGAGCCTGACGCGGGGCTCGAACCCATGAACCGTGAAATCATGACCCGAGCCGAAGCCAGACGCTCAACCAACTGAGCCACCCAGGCGCCCCAGCATTAAAATTGTTTTTAATGAGAATCTTTGATGGCAATCTTTAATTGTTTTGACATTTCTTTTTGGGCAGTATTAACACAGGGACAAATAAAAAGCAGTAATTGCTAGAACTAAGGAAATAATTTTTTTAATATGATACTAAATTCAGTATCGTAAAGTAAAGTAAATACTTTATGATTAAAATTTTTTCTTAAATGCCTGGTCTTATTTCTGAGTCTTACTTTTGTGGCAACAAATTGATTAAAATATCCACCATTTTATGGGCAAAGCAACATTGGATAATATCCTTTTTTATTTATTTTTAAATTTTTAAAATTTATTTCTGAGAGAGACAGAGACAGCAAGTGAGCTTGGGAGTGTCAGCGAGAGAGGGAGACACAGAATCTGAAACAGGCTCAACGCTCTGAGCTAGCTGTCAGCACAGCTCCAACCACTGAAGTCAGGTGCTTAACCGACTGAGCCACCCAGACTTCCTGGTTAATATCCTTTAAAGAAGGGTAAAGGGTAAGTCCATTTGAGAGATAAATAGATAACCTATTCCTTTAAATTATCTTTTTTGCTTCACAAATGAGTTACTACTCTTTTATGTTTTTTCTAGCCTTTTCTTCCTCCATTTCAGTTCCAGTTGAGTCATTATACCTTCTGCAGCATATAATGTACAAATTTACCCAGTTATCATAATATTTAGAATTACTGATAACAATGAGCTCTAAATGCAAGGACAAGTAGATGGAGAGAAAACTTTAAAACATTTTAAATGAAATCATTACAGACAATTTTCACCATCTACTATAGTATAAGGATAGCATTATCTATGAAAAGAAGCCTCGCTTTTTCTTCTCTACAACATGAATAAAATTTTTTAGAAAAAAAAGTGTTTGCAAGTTGATTCATATCAAACTCCTCAAGGTATTGAATCATAAGAAAAGATCTCAATAGAATAAACTAATGAGCAAAGTTCATGGAAGATGGTACAGAATATACTGGGGAAAGTGCTGCTCAGTTTACCTGGGGAAATGCACGTGTGAAACATCCTGGCAGGAGGCTAAGAATTTCTAATACTCCGACGAGGGGGAGGCAAAGCAACTGCATGCTGACCACGTCATACAACTTAGAAAGTCACTGTCAAAAGCTGCATGTGACATTTGCCAAGAGACCGGGTGTTTTTGCTGGTAGATAAAATGTGTTCCTCAGCTTGATATCTATGTTTTATCAGTGGTAGCTGAAGGGAGCAGCAATTGTGGTAACAAATGGAAAGTCAATTTGCTTTTCATTTCTCTGATTCACATATGAACGTTAAAGCTGCAGAGTTATGCCAAAAAGTTCCAACTTTAGTACGTTTCTTAATTCAGGCCATGTTTGCCTTCCGGCAAATTGTTAGGTAAATTATTTTCTGCGCACCGTAATAATAATTGTTGTACTAAAAGTTGTTTCAAAATACATGTGAGTGGAATATAGCTTGTTGGTTTCTTTTTTTTTTCGCTTGCTCATTCTGAATATTCAGTTAAGCCTTTTCAAGCCAATGGTGATTAATGTTTGTAATGAAGCAATAAATATAGTTATTAAACTTACCATTAGTTTTTATTCATGGTGACTTTTGTGCCAGTTTTCAAATATTAATCTTGTATTAAAGTTGAATATGCCCAATATCGTGGATAGCTGCTAGAAACTAATTCATGAAAGGTGTGATACAGTGATGTAACAATCCCCACTTTTGCCCCAACTGTAACATAAGGCAAGTCTATCCGCCTTGGATCCAACTCATGAAGATTGATTTGTCAGAATTCCAGAATTCATTATTAAATAATTGTTCAGCTCTAATACTGTGCCAGCACAGTCCCCAGTGTAGCATTGTAATGAGGCTCCAGTTAGAATATGATTTTGCTTCCTCTAAGCATCCTATTATTATTCAATAATAGTACGGAATAGCCATCCCTATGTTAGCCTGTGCTGGATAGAGCTCAGCTACCTTTGACTCTCCTGTATACTTCATTTGAGAATTTCCATTTTGATTCTGGAAAGATGCCTGCAAATGTAAGGTTGTTAATTTATGTCACCACTGGAAAAAAAATTTATTGCAGGTGATTCTGTGAAGTCATAAGTTTTTTTTAGAAAGTCAGGAATGGTCTGTGAGAATGGATTCTACAAGTGGGCTGATATAGACATTATGCTGTGCTTATTATTGGGGGAACTAAATAAATCTTGATGTAAATACAACTGAAGAAAAGCCAAAGTAATAAGTACTTTACAGAATATAAAATACTTTAAGCAGGAACTTTTTAAGATGGATAGTGTGAAGGCAAGGAATCTTTTAACACATTGTTTATTGATGATAACCTCATGTTTTCTCTCTTTTAGGGTGTGGTTAGACCTACTGGGGGATACGCTGTGATGCTAAACTGGACAATGTCTTCTATCTATGGACTTAAACCTGGAGAGGTAGTCATGGTTTTAAATTCATGTTACCTGACATTTCTCTGATGAACATGTATGTATTTTATCACTTTCTTATTTTTTAGGTGTGGTGGGCAGCCTCTGACTTAGGCTGGGTTGTTGGACATTCCTATATCTGTTATGGACCTCTTCTACATGGAAACACAACAGTTTTATATGAGGTAATAAAGTGAAATTAATACCATCTAGACAATTTTTTTAACTGAAGCTTTTAAATAAGTGGTTTCTAAGTGGGGCCAGAAATAATTGGATTTGGGCCACGAGACTTTTTTTTTTTATGTCTTCTTCCAGTTAAAATAGGATATCAAAAGAAAAAGGAATACAGAAAATAACAGCCAGTTGTCAAAATTGTGCTGAACAAAACCAGCAAAGTTATATTATGAAAACATATACTCCTCAGCTTGATGTCTATCCCTAACAGATTTCTAGAAAGTATTAAACCAAAGTCATTGCAATAAAATGAATGATTTTCTTCAATACACATTCTCTTTGAAGTAAACAAATTAAGCCTCAACAATAAATCCCTATTATGAATTGTGGTATTAGTAACATAAATGTAACAAAGTCAAAGGTGCCACTGTAAGTATTTCTATTACAGAATTAAGCTGCCTTTAGAACTGAAGATCATACAATACTTGTGCATTTACCATTGGCCTTTTATTTCTTGAGTTTATTTGAAACATGATTTTAATACCATGAAACGGGCTTGGTTGTTTGTCCTGGAATGGTATACTCAAGAAGAGTGTAGATACTTTACAAATATTTTTTGTGTAAAGGAGTGAATATAATAGCTACATTCATAAACCTTTTATCTGAATTCTGGTTTCTTTCGAACAAAGTGTAAACATCCTCATTTCTTTCTGATAACAAAACAAACCTTTGCCCACTTTTAGCTACCCCATCTTTATTTTCTTTTCCACTAAGCTCTTTGGAAAGAAATACTCAATTCACACGGGGAATTTCATATTCTTCTAGTTCCTCTTTATTCCACTGTGGTCCAATTTCTGTCCACATGACTTCATAGAAGCTGCTGCAGCAGAGGTCAACAGTGACTTCATAAGTGACCAGGTCAAAAGGCCCTCAATCTGATTTTATTTTCCCTCTGTGAGTGAATCAACCGTGCTGTTTGATGCAAGTAATTCTCTCTCCTCTTGAGCTCCCTGCCCTTTTGCTGTTTGTTCAGGCTGTTTCTTCTGTCTGGCATGACTTTGCCTGTGTCCTTCCTTCCCTTCCAATCTTTAAGACTCTGCTTAGATGTTATCAACTTTTCACAGTTTCCTATTACAGTCTTTGGTTTTGTCTAGTGCCCTTTCCATGATTCCATTGCTCCCTGAGCACGTGCCCATCGCTGAGCACTAAGCTAAGCACACTGTTTAGATTTGTCTGTTTATATCCAGTAGAGTATGAGATCTTCAAAAGCAGGTCTTCCAGCACAGTGTGTAGCACACACGAAACACTCAATAAATGCTCATTGAACTAAATTGAGCTCCACTCCTTTGTTCTCCTTCTACCTCTCAGGACAGGTTGTCCTCCTTTTCCTCTCTTAGTTTCTCTTACTTTGCTCCTAAACATTGGTGGTTGGAAGGGTCTTATTCTTAGCCTTCTTTTTGCATTTTGCTTATATATGTTGGCTTTTTTTTTTTGTATTCTCCATGCAGTTGGATTTGAGAAGTACAAATTAAACCAAGGCTTCTATCTACTCTTATCTATATCAGATCTTCCTGGTGAGCACCAACTGATTGTTAGACCTTCTTTGGATGGTCCATACACGTCTTATGCTCCAGATGACAAACTGAACTCACCATCTCCATTCTTCGCTGCAAAACACATTTCTTTCCATGTTCTCTCTAACGTTAATTTCACCTGCATTTACTCAGTTATCCAAACTAAGAATCCAGGAGAGATTCTAATTTCATTATCTTTTACATATCAACTTTATTGGTCATTACATTTTGTTGACTTTATGTTTTAGTACCTATCAAAAGTATCCTCTCTTTTGCAGGCCTCCTGCCCTAGATTCAAAGCTGATATTTAGTTGCCGGGCATAAGTATGTTGTTGACTGGTGTGTATTCTGTGTTTGGCTTCTGATCTGACTCATGCCTATGCTTTGCAGTTGTAGATTTCAGATTATCCTGAGATAATCAGTCTAGAGTGCATTCTAACAGGTGCTCCTTCCTTTAAAGTTCCTTTCAGTCTACCTCTACCCTAATTCCAGTTTCTGAGCTCTCCTTACTTATATAATTATCTGTCTAAAATGCAAAAGCCAACATAGAACTTTGTTGTGTAAAATCCTTCAAAGGGTTAAGTTCTGCTTCTGCAAAGATGAAGAAGACATACTTTTCTTGATTCCTGTCTCTAAATAGAACTGTCATAAGAATTATGTCTAGAGTAAACATTACAAGACTAAAAGTTGGAGAGAAGGGAAACTGGCTTTAAGGAACTTGGGATTCAAGGAACAACATAGTGATAACACCCTGGGTCTTACTTTTCCCTCATATATCCTATATTCACTGGTGAAAAAGCTAGTAACCCATAAATAACAATAATAACAACAACAAACTAAACAAACACAAAAAATACCTAAAAATATATAAATAAACATGATCTAGTAAGCCAAAGGAGTAGGAAAAAGACAGCCTAAGTAAAACATAAAACTTGTAGATGGTTCTACTCTAGGCAAACACCACAGAAAATCCATGCTCTCTCCCCCCCCCAGCCCCCTGCCAACAACAAAGACTGAGTTCTCCCTGCCAGGTGGGAATGAGAACCTCTCAAACTCTTAGAGATAATGGAGACCATAGGAACCGGGACTTCTACTCCTTCTCATCAGTAATAAGGTACCCTCCTCCCTACCTTGTAGGGTGATGTCAGGGAGCAGTAACTCTTACTTCACCTAGCCAGGCAGTTATCAGTGGAAGCCTACTGTTGGAAGTAGAACCCACCCAGGACCATGAGAAGCACCCTCCCAATTGGGTATCAGTCGAGGCTGAATGAGGAACCTGGATTTTTATCCCTACCTCTCCCTTCCTCAATGGAGTGTAACCAAAGTAAAGCCATCTGTAAGAGAAGATCTAAATATGAGCCAGTCTTATAATGTAATACACAAAATATCTGAGCTTTGATGAAAAAAAAAATCACTCATACCAGGAACTAGAGTGATCTTAAGCTACATGGGAAAAAATATATAGAGACCAAGAGTGAGATGACAGAGATGTTAGAATTATCTGACAAAGGTTTTACAGAAGCCGTGATGAAAGTACTTCCACCAGGGATTATGAACATTCTTGACACAAATACAAAATAGAAGGTCACTCAAAAGGTATAGAAGTTATAAAAGACAACTGTATGAAAATTGTAGAACTGAAAAATTACAGTAACCAAAATAAAAACTCATTGTAGGTGGGTGAAATGAGTGAAGGGGATTAAGAAGTGCGAACTTGTAGCTATCAAATAATTAAGGTACAGAGATGAAAAATAAAGGAATTCTAAGGTATACAGTCAATAATATTATAGTAATGATGTATGGTGACAGATGGTGACAGCACTTCTCATGATGAGGATCATGTAATGTCTAAACCTGTCAGCTATCACTCAATAATAAATTTAAACTTTGTTGTATACCTGAAACTAATATAACAATGTATGTCAACTATAACTCAATAATAAATTTTAAAAAACCACAGTGGATTGCTTAGGAGAGAGGCAAGATGGCAGAGAAGTAGGGAACTATGTACATAGCGCTTACCCCCATATCTCACACGGAGAAGACCTGAAGCCATAAGAACCCTTACAGAATCCAGGAGTTTGGGAGGAAAAGGAGACAGAGTCCACTGAGAAAACCTTCTAATGGCTACCTCAAGAAACAAGCCAAAGTACACATGGTGGAGAGTCCTAAATACTACTATGAGTAGGAAAATAAAATAACCAAGGTGTCAACAAGAGAGACCAAGAGATACAATTCAAAGAACACTTTCTGAAAGGATAGGCCCTGGACAGTCAAAGAGCCTTCTTGGGTACAGCAGTGCTCACAGGTGCAGAGAGCAGAACAAGTTTTTAAAACTAACAAGAGATAGAAAGCTAACCAAAATGAAGAAACGAAAGAGCTCTCCTCCAAAGAAATTCAAGGAAGAATTGACAGCTAAAGAACTGCTCAAAACAGATAGAAGCAGCATAACTGAACAAGATTTTAGAACAATAATCATAAAATTAATCTGGGCTTGAAAAAAGCATGGAGGACATCAAAGAACTATGGCTACAACCAACATGGAGCTTAAAAATAGGTATGATGAATTAAAAAAATGTGATAAATGATATACATAATAAACTGGAGGTGTCCAATGCACAGATTGAAGAGGCAGAAAGAAGAATAAGTGATTTAGAAGACACAAGTATAGAAAAAGAAGAAACTGAGAAAAAAAAGAGACAAACTGATCCAGGAACATGAAAGAAGAGTTCGAGAGCTCAGCGATACAATCAAACGGAACAATATCCGTATCATAGGAATCCCAGAAGAGGAAGAGAGAGGGAAAGGTGCTGAAGGAGTCCTGGAACAAATTATAGCAGAGAACTTCCTCAACCTGGGGAAGGAAGTAGACGTTGAAATTCAAGTGGCACAGAGAACTCCCCTCTGACGTAATTTGAATCGATCTTCTGCATGACATATAATAGTAAAAATGGCAAAATATAAGGACAAAGAGAAAATTTTGAAAGCAGCTAAGGAGAAAAGGGCCCTAACATACAAAGGGAAAACTATCAGAGTGGTGACAGACCTATCTACTGAAACGTGGAAGGCCAGAAAGGAATGGCAGGAGATCTTTAATGTGATGAATAGAAAAAATATACAGCCAAGAATCCTCTATGCAGCAAGCCTGTCATTCAGAATAGAAAGAGAGATAAAAGTCTTTCCAAATAAACAAAAATTGAAAGAATTTGTCACCACTAAGCCAGCCCTATAAGAAATCCTGAGGGGTACTCTCTGAGGGAAGCATTGTAAGGAATGCAAGATAACAGAGACACCACCACAAGAATGAATCCCACAAAGGACACAATGACTCTAAACCCACATATTTCAATAACACTGAATGCAAATGGGCTGAATGCTCCAATCAAAAGACATAGGTAGCAGAATGGATTAAAAAACAAAATCCATCTATTTTCTGT